GGGAATAAAAAAAAATAAACAATACAAATAAGTTAAATATGGAATATGCTCTGCTACAATACACTACAAATGTAGCAAAATATATTGCAGCTTAAAAACGAATATGGGACTATAAATAAAATGAATGATTATGTAAATATGCAAATCAAGCGTGAGGTAGTGCTTAGACAAAAAATATAGTACCGATACTTTCAATTCCAGTTATACCCCTATCAAAGAATGGTAGAACCCATTCAGGTCTGAAGCAAATAACATATGGAGTTTTGATTTTTAAAAAAAATTATGACAATGCTGTTGGGTTGAATTTTACAAAAGATTACATTTGTTGATAATATAAATTTAGCATTTAAAATAGATCAAAACTTGCATAGTTTTCAAAGTCCCTGCCATTATAATGTTTCAGATATATAATTATAATATAGATCTTGCATATGTTGCAATCAGGACAATAAAAACAACTACCGGTACCGGTAAATTTGAGCAAATTTGTTAAATTATATGCAAGACTATTTCTTTGAAAGTTTCCCTATAAACATTGTAGTAAAAAAAATAATTACAATTTTACTAGATTCAAAATAGTATGTGCACTTTGACACATGACAGACACTTTTCTGTATCCATGACTACCAGACAAGACTCATTCTGATGTCAACGAGACCCAACTAGCTATTCTAAAATGGCTACAGCAAGCCTCTTTCTAAAACCAAAACCAACTAGCTGTATTCTAGTTCAAAAAATTGTACCATAATCTTTCTGACTCCCAAAAGCCTACCAGAACCAATCAGTGTCTTTCTGGTGCAAAATGGCTACCAGCAAGCTTCTTTCTGAATCTAAAATGCCTACTAGAACAAACTAGCCTCATTCTGAATCAAAATGCCTACTAGAACCAATTAGCCTCATTCTGAATCAAAATGCCTACTAGAACCAATAAGCCTCATTCTGAATCAAAATGCCTACTAGAACCAATAAGCCTCATTCTGAATCAAAATGCCTACTAGAACCAATTAGCCTCATTCTGAATCAAAATGCCTACTAGAACCAATTAGCCTCATTCTGAATCAAAATGCCTACTAGAACAAACTAGCCTCATTCTGAATCAAAATGCCTACTAGAACCAATAAGCCTCATTCTGAATCAAAATGCCTACTAGAACCAATAAGCCTCACATTGAATCAAAATGCCTACTAGAACAAATTAGCCTCATTCTGAATCAAAATGCCTACCAGAACCAATAAGCCTCATTCTGAATCGAAATGCCTACTAGAACCAATAAGCCTCACATTGAATCAAAATGCCTACTAGAACCAATGAGCCTCATTCTGAATCAAAATGCCTACTAGAACCAATAAGCCTCATTCTGAATCAAAATACCTACTAGAACCAATAAGCCCTCATTCTGAATCAAAATGCCTACTAGAACCAATAAGCCTCACATTGAATCAAAATGCCTACTAGAACCAATAAGCCTCATTCTGAATCAAAATGCCTACTAGAACCAATGAGCCTCATTCTGAATCAAAATGCCTACTAGAACCAATAAGCCTCATTCTGAATCAAAATGCCTACTAGAACCAATAAGCCTCATTTCGAATCAAAATGCCTACTAGTACCAATAAGCTATTCTGAATCAAAATGCCTGCTGGAACCAATAAGCCTCATTCTGAATCAAAATGCCTACTAGAACCAATAAGCCTCATTCTGAATCAAAATGCCTACTAGAACCAATAAGCCTCATTCTGAATCAAAATGTCTAATAGAACCAATAAGCCTCATTCTTAATCAAAATGCCTAATAGAACCAATAAGCCTCATTCTGAATCAAAATGCCTACTAGAACCAATAAGCCTCATTCTGAATAAAAATGCCTACTAGAACCAATAAGCCTCATTTCGAATCAAAATGCCTACTAGTACCAATAAGCTATTCTGAATCAAAATGCCTGCTGGAACCAATAAGCCTCATTCTGAATCAAAATGCCTAATAGAACCAATAAGCCTCATTCTGAATCAAAATGCCTACTAGAACCAATGAGCCTCATTCTGAATCAAAATGCCTACTAGAACCAATAAACCTCATTCTGAATCAAAATGCCTACTAGAACCAATAAGCCTCATTCGGAATTCAAAATGCCTACGAGAACCAATTAGCCTCATTCTGAATCAAAATGCCTACTAGAACCAATAAGCCTTATTCTGAAATAAATACTTAACCATTCACTAACAAATATTCTAATCTGCATTTCTTTTATAATTAGTTTAATCAAGGTCAGTGTTCTCAAATGTGAGAGACAGATAATAGCATACACACAAACACTTGTTGAGAAATAGTACTGTATCAACATAGTGGAAGTATATATACTATATAAATCCGTCAGCATTAGATATGAGCATTTTTGTCTAAAAAGAACTTTTACTGTTAGTTATGCAAATTAATTTCCAGTGTCCTGCATAAGGTAAGTACATTTCATAAAATATGCATAGTAATCAATGATATAAAAGTACAAGATAAGATAACATTTTCCAGTGGACAGGATTCAGGTTTGAAGAGTACATGCACAAAAATATAAAATATAGAAAATATTGAATAAATATTCACAGGCAGGAACATTTTGGGGTTCACAACTAAAATGAAATGGATTATACAAAACATCTTGTATCTAAATCCAGTGTGTCAACTGCAATGTGAAAATACTGATACTTGAAAAATAAACAAAAATATACTTTTTTTACAATGGTAAGACTGATTGTTTTTTTTATTAATAATGCTTATTTGCATACTTTAGTTATTCCCAAAATTAACATTTTGGACATTTTTAAGTAATTTAATATAATTTCTTTCAGTCCAAATAGAATAATTCTTTCATTACCTATTGATAGAAAGTTTGAGAAAAAAATATTTTGTGCAAAGAGTGATTTTTTTTAAATTTTAGCGCTCACAGGGTCAAAGTTCAAAAGTTTAAAGGTCAATGAGCGCCCCCAGTAAAAAGCAGCTTATTGCAGTGTGATGACTTCAAACAAATATCAAAATAAAATCTATTTTCAGCCAAGGTTTCAAGTGTCAAAGAAGTATGAAATATAAAAATGATTATATCAAGGATATAACGTGAGAACTGGTCACTATGACAACAGAGATGGAGATGAATTATTTAAGTACATCATTTTTTTGCATCCGGTGAAGAGGTGGATAATTCTGGGGGTAGAATTCCCAGCTAGTTGCAAGATGAATTCCTATAAAAAATCTTGCATCATACTTATAAAGGTGGTTGGAAAAAGCCCTGATAGTTGTGTTTCGGTGATATGAAACACATTAATTGTCATAGCACCCTCCATAGTAACAATTAACAAATTACTTTGTTTTTATGAGTTGTTTTCTAATGCATTTCATACTGGCAGTGATATTTTTTCAAAGATTCAAATCACTTTTGTAATAAAATATGCAAAGTACAGTCAACAGTAGGTTGCATAAAAAATGTACCTGGCCCCATGAATCTACAGGTCGTTTGTATTTGAACTACATAGTACTTTGACAATCAAGGTATACACAAATTTAAATTTTGCTTGTTGGCACCATGGTAGTATTTCAGTCACTAAAAAAAAAAGAAATAACTCAGAAATCAAAAACTATATCTTATCTATAAATAATCAATGGAACATATTTGTTTTTATACAAACAGTAATAATATG